TCCTGTTGGCCTGTCTGGGCCTGCTCGTCGGCGTGCCGAAGTCATGGGGCGGTGGTGGGATCGCAAGGAGCCCCCTACGGCTAACCTGTGCCAGAAACTCATCAGTCTTGCCATTGTTCCCATGTGCACGGCAGGACCGGTCCTCGTCATATCCCCAAGCGAGCTCAGCATTGAGGTCGCAGGAGAAGAGCACCGGAATGGTAGTCGGTGGTAGACCTGCCAAGTGATCGTGAACTTCCTTGGCATGTTGGGGTTGTGTGCAACCTGGCGTGAAGTGAGCCGTTCCTATCCAAACCTCAGACCCTTCTGTGCTTCGCAGCCTCAGCCAAATCCCTCTCGGCGTTGCTTTTTTCCGCATGACTTTCCATGCCGCTGTGTTGTATGCGATCCCTGTGCCACGCCAGACCTCATCTCCCCTGTGCTGGATGAGTGTCCAGCTGCCATGATACGTGGTGTGCCAGCCAGACAGATCCCTGGGAATTTCCTGAAAGGACAGCAAGGCGTTCGATGGCAACTTCTTCATGACATCCGTCACAACCCTGGGGTAGTCAGTAACCGATGCTCCCCCAAGATTCCAACTGACAAAGGGAAAGGTCGCCGCCTGTAACAAAGGTAGCTGGCCCTGCCGGCATGGTTTGTTCACCTTGCCCCGGGCAAAATGTGTCGATGCATTAGCCAGATCAGCCTCAGCGTTCTTCGTTGATGCCTCCCTCGCCTCTTGAATTCCCTGCATCCCCATGTCCAGCTCATCTGTGTCTCAGCGGCGCTGCTCAGCAAACCCGGCTCGCAGGTCCACCGCCGTGATCCCACTGAACTTGGCAATGCCCTCGATCCAGATCCACGGTCTCCTCCCCGGTTTGTTATCGTCCCAAAGAACCCCGTCTTCCGAAGTGTTTTCCGGGAGCGTTCTGGTGGCACTAGCAACCACCGAGTCCCCAAGCCACACCGTCCCTGTCCCGTACTCCGCGTCGACGTGGTTGAGGAGCTCCCGGTTAAAGCTTGCCAGCGTCCTCTTGAGCCACGAACAATGTGAGGCAATCTCCCGTTCCGTCTTGCTTTTTGAGTAGCTCGCCCATAGCCTTCTCTTGTGCGAAGTGAAGGGCTTGGCTTCTGCGACCCCCGAAACGATCTCGTGCATCCGCCGACGCCTATCAGCATCAGCTTCGCCAGGGCGCAAGTCGAAATTGAGCAAAGCCACACTGCGCCTTGGGCCTGTCGTAAAAGGCCGCGAATCCGTAAACTTTGCCAAGCCTAGCTTCTCCAAGGCCTCTTCCACTTCTGCCAAGATCGTTCCCCGGGGGGTGTCCATGTTCCATCCTCCCAGCACAAGTGTGTTCCGTCGTCGCTCATCCATGTCACCTGAAGTGCCCCCTCTCCGCCCGTCCTCCAGGCGGGTTAGCTTCTCCTCGACTCCCCGGAGCCGCTCGTTCATTGCCTGCATCTGGTCCCCCACCGCGGAGAGCTTGGTCTCCACCTTGCGGTCCAGCGCTTTGACCATGTCATGGGCTTGCTCCCTCGTCTCCTTAACGATCTGGTCCTTGTGCTCGCCGAGCAGCTGCTTGAAGGCTTCCCAGTTAAAGGAATCAGAGCTGAGTTTGTTCTTCTTCTTGATCGCCCCACGCGTCGCCCCTTCGCCCTCAGCTCTGCGGCGCTTGGGGCTGGCATCGTCCTCGGAGCTTTGAGGCACGTCGGGCAACCGGCCGGACAATCCCGGCGGCCCTCGGCCTTCACCCAACCGCAGCTGACCAGCCATGACCTGCCGAATCACCAGAACCTAGGCCTTGTCCCGAATCGCACCGAGGCGGTCCAGCCGGGCCTGCACGTTCCGCCGATCAGCAAGGAGAACCCCCGGGTCGTGTGGAAGGACAAGTAGAGCCGATCCCAATGACCTGACCACCGCAGACGGTCGGGGGGCGAGCACCTGCCTGCAGGACACTAGGGGGGGCCTTGAGCCAAAATGGCTCAAAAGGTTTAGGGTTTAGGGTTTGGGGTCTAGGGCTAGTCCCGACATGATGGGCCAGATTGCAAGACCAACCACAAACCATTCAGAGGGCCTGATATAGGGGCCTTTATTCTAGGGTTTAGGGTTTAGGGTTTAGGGTTTAGGGTTTAGGGTTTAGGGACCAGGATCTGAACCTGGCTCGATCATGTGCATACACTGGGTAGAGTTCGCAAGCTCGATCTGGCGTCTTCGCGCTCCTTTTCAGTCTTCCGGAACTCAGCGACAAAGCTCTCCGTCAAGGTCCGTGTTTCACGCGCTCGCTCCAGGGACGCCACCATCTCCAAGACGATGGCACGGTCCATCTTTCCTAGACTTATTATTCTGCATAAAGCGTACATGGCCAGGCCTGCGAATCCGCTCTCGCCTTGCTCATCGAACTCATCCGAGTTTGGGAGCGTGTTCTTAATCTGGTTTATGGGCAAGACCATGATCTTTTTGTCAGGGTCTTAGGGCTTCGGGTGTAGGGCTTGGGGTTTAGGGTTTAGGGCTTAGGGTTTTAGGGCGTAGGGTTTTAGGGCTCAGGGTTTAGGGTTTCGGGCTTAGGGTTTTAAGGCTTAGGGTTTAGGGTTTAGGGTTAGGTTTTGGGTTTGGGGTTTAGCGCTTAGGGTTTTAGGGCTTAGGGCTTAGGGCTTAGAGCTTAGGGTTGAGGGTTTAGGGTCTAGAGCCTAGGGCTCAGCACAACCTAATTCAACGACGACCGGCCGGACACTAATCCACCCAATGCCCAATGTCAAAGCCCCCATTTCAAAGCACCGGTTTAGGGCTTAGGGTTTAGGGCCCAGGGTTCAGGGCACCCAGAATCAAAGAGCCAACGCACTAGGGACAACAACAGCTCACAAACCCTTAACCGTACACTTAACCCTAAACCCTAAGTCGTGCTCTAAATCTAAAAACCCGAAACATTAGACCCCCAGCAGCAAACGCAACAACAATTGCTCGAAATCCCAGAACCCGAAACCCTCAAACCTTAACCCCTACAGATCCCTTAACAGGAGCCCTAGACCCTAAACCCTAAACTCTAAAGCTAAACCCCTGAACCCCTAAACCCTAAACCCCTAAACCCTAAACCCTAAACCCCTACAGATCCCTTAAAGGACCCCTAAACCCCTAAACCCCTAACCCCAAACCCTAAACCCCTACAGATCCCTTAAAGGAGCCCTAAAGCCTAAACTCCTTAAACCCTAAACCCTCAACCCTATAAACCCTAAAAAGGAGCCTAAAAGGAACCCTCAAAGCCCCCTGACTGCACCCACCAGCCCCCGAGCCTCCCATGTTGTTGCAGCCGCAGCCCTCCATGTAGTTGCCTGAGTCGACTTCTTTTCATATTCAGTAGGGTTTAGGGTTTAGGGTTTAGGGTTTAGGGTTTAGGGTTTAGCGTTTAGGGTTTGGGCATGGAACGGACAGTAGGGTTCAGGGTTTGGGCATGGAACGGACAGGTTCATTGTAACAAGTGATTGTAAACTAGAAGTCAATATTATGGATCCTAAACGACAGCACGGTTCCTTTAAGGGCAAGGTTTAGGTTTAGGGGTTTAGGGGTTTAAGGTTTAGGGTTTAGGGCTCCTTTAAGGGATCTGTAGGGGTTTAGGGTCTAGGGTTTAGGGGTTTAGGGGTTTTGGGTTTCGGGTTTAGGGCTCCTTCAAGGGATCTATAGGGGGTTTAATAAGGAGCCCCCAGAATAATATAGGTATTTATTAGGGCCCCTAAATTCTGCCCCAAGCACCCACTATTTGGGGTCAGGGTTTGCTTTTACGGTTTAGGGTTTGGGGTTTAGGGTTAGGGTTGCTTTAGGCTGAACTCTATTGGGGTTTAGGGCTTAGGGCTATAATTTGGGTTCAGGGCTGTTTCGGGATGAACTACTGATGATGGACAAAATTCTGCATGACCCAAATATAGTATAGTACCATAAATCCCATAGTTTAGGTATATAGGGTCATGCAGGATTTTGTCCATCAACCGTAGCACAGGCTGACTTGCGACAAGGTCGTTTCCAGCCGTGGTGCCCTACACCCTAAACCCTAAACCCTAAACCCTAAATGACCCTAAACCCTAAACCGAGCCGTGGTGCCACACATGTTGTTGCCCCAGCCGCAAGCATTTTGGCCACATCCGTCCATACATCCGCCTGGAGATCGGAGTCACTTGGAGGGTCGGGGGTTTAGGGTTTAGGGTTTAGGGTTTAGGGTTTAGGGTTTAGGGGTTTAGGTAGATATTAAGTAGAGTTAGAAGTACCCTAAAAGGGATCCTAATTGGGGTTATGATACTTGTAATAGTCTATAAAATAAAACAGCTGGTTACGAAGTCCCCAGACCCTCAAAGTAAACTCTAAACCCCTAAACCCCTAAACCCCTGGGCTAAACCCTAAACCGTAACCCTAAGCCCTGAGCCCTAAACAACCCCAATGCGAAAGTTCCCCCCCCCACCGTAAAAACGCAAAGACCCCCGACATCAGCCTACACTCCTAAACCCTCTCTAAAACCCAAACCCTTAAGGACGAAAAGAACCCTAAAAGGGTTTGGGGTTCATATACCACATCAAGATTCATAATTAGTATACTTGTATAGAGCCTCTACTTTTAAGGGTCATTTGGTCCTTAAGGAACCCTCTCTAACACCCAAAGCCCTGAACTGTGGATAGACATCAGAGCAGCATGGCGCCATGTATATAGCGGAGTACCAAAATCACGTCACGAAGGACTATTCCTAAGTGTGGGGGTTGGCACGTTTAGGGTCTAAGACTTATCATCAACTTGTCAGAACCTTTAAAGAGAAATCTTTACGGCTTAGAGTTTAGAGTTTTTAGGGCCAGGGTTTGGGCACCATGCAGGGTCCGAAGCCTCTAAACGCCCTTAACCTAAGTAAACGACCTTCAGTTAAAGGTGGTACTTTCGTGGATTAGGATGAAGTACCCAAAACCCTAGAACCCTAAACCCTAAACCCCAAACCCTAAAACCCTAAGCCCTAAACCCTAAACCCTAAAACCCTAAACCCTAACGAAGTTCGGTCGGTTATGGACCAGGAGCTTCGGGCTTGCAGTTTAAGCTTTACCTATTTGCCTTCAATCCGGGCCGGGCTTGCAGTGTTTAGGGATTTAGGGTTTAGGGTTTAGGGTTTAGGGTTTAGGGTTTAGGGTTGCAGGTGGTGGTATGAGTCAGCGCGAAAAAGTGGGTAGTTGAAGTATGCTCAGTTTGTTCTTTGTTCTACATCGCAGCCCACTACTCGCAAGAATGTGAAACGCTTCTCGACAGGAGCTAAAGTAAGAACTGGAGACATCAAGAATGTGGCCTCTAAAGCCTAAGCCTAAACCTTTGTCCCTAAACCCTAAACCCTAAACCCTAAACCCTAAGCCTAAACCTAAGCTTAAACCTTTGCCCAGATCCCGCAATCGTCGTGAAATCTCTTGCTACCGGGTGGCCGCAGCAGCCACCCATGTTGCCGCAGCAGCCTCTCTTCTTCAACAACAGGGCCCCCAAAGAGATCAAACCGCTGGACTAAATATATATTTGGTTTAGGGTTTAGGGTTTAGGGTTATGGCCGAAAACAATCGAAAATCTCCCATTGGCTCTCTAAGCAGCCGCCCATGTTGTTGTATCCGCAGCCACAGTTGTTGCCGCAGCAACCGCCCATGTTGCCGCAGCAGCCGCCCATGTTGCCATAGCCTGGAATGCAGAGAACCCAATACCCCTTAAATAAGGAATAGACCTTTAACTACAAGGGGCTGCGTATTCTGATTTCAGGTATATTATAGGGTTTAGGGTTCAGGGTTCAGGGTTTAGGGTTTAGGGTTTCGGGATTCATTTCTTACTTGAGGGGTATGGAGTCTCTGGGCAGATAAAGACTGCAAGTTGCTCTTCAAGGGAGTATGTGAGTAGTTCTCTAAATTAGGGTCCTTTTTAGGGTGCTTTTTTATAAGGGTGCCGTTTAGGGTTTAGGGTTTAGGGTTTAGGGACCTAAGAAGGGACCCT